CCACTTATAAGATACTTGGAATAACTAATTCTCAATGATATCCGGCGACATCGTGACAGTTGCTTGACATTAGCATAATCATGAACCGTCGTTTCGTTACGATTTCTTTGTATCAGCAACCTTATTAATAAAAACCAGGATAAAATCGTTAATAAGTTTCATCTTTCTAAACTTCTAGATTTGAAATAGATTTTAAACGAGTCTCTGAATTGAAAAAATAGGATTTGTCAGAAATGATGCTACGATAAACTCTTGACGCAAATCAAATTAATATTATATTAAATTGAAAATTACATTTTTTTAAATTTTTATATGTATATATATATACATATATAATATTATTATATAGAAACTTTTAATATGATATATAGACATATTTTATAGTTACGCACGCAATATATTTTTGACCGTATTTTCAACACTGACTGTACGCGGGTCACATTTACTACCACTCGTTCTCATTTACTCCGGTAATTGCCACTCCGTTGTCGTCGAAGTTACAGAGGATCTGACAAGGGCTGCAGCAAACCGATGGCAGGCTACTTGCCAATTCTTGTGCACCGGTCGACCGGCCGGTACAATAATCGTTTATCGCTTCATTCGCCGACCATTATAAGAAAGCATCGTTGGTAATAACGTCTCCCGCTGCGACCATATATCGTCCTGCCAAGAGTTACACCGCCACGGATATCGAAGGCGAACGATTTATTAACCCCTCTATCGGCTCCAATCCGCGAAGAGCCGATACCGTATCCCTAGTAATTACTTGATGAGTCTATAATGCAGCGTAATCAACCTGTCCCGTCGTAGACATGCGAGAAAAAGCCGCCTCTTCCGTCGTCTTGTGATGAATGCGAATTTTTTTATTATTTAATCGCGCCGCGATTTTGTTTACACGAACGCACATAAATCCACCATCGCGGGTATCGCGGTTATACCGGTAACGTTTGTCTCTTTACGCCTACGCATATGAAATATAATATGCGTTCTTTTTCCTTTTGTTTCTTTCCTTCCTCTTTTACATATCTCGTAACGTAATATCCATATTTAATGTATCATTATTAACAAACACGTTTCGGTCGTCTTATAGTAAGCTTCTGAAAATATCCATAACAGGATTGTGTCATACGATGTACATATATGAAAGATAATTTAATTTCTTATTTCTGAGATTTAAGTAGTCTCATATCAACACAATAATAAATTTGCAATTTTTAGAAATTCACGAATAGAACATTAATCGAATACCAGATGGATATATAAAAACTCGCAGTTATTTCTATCGTAAAATTAAAGAAATATGTTCCGATATTTTGTTTCTTTTATCCTTTTTTCCAAAAAGTACTATTTTATGCACAATATATAATGTATTAAAAATATCTTGACTAAATCTCAATATTCTTCTTTGATCTTCAGACATATTCGAAAAGTCAATGACACCTTCTATGAGAAAAAGACGGTATCAAAAAAGTGATCGGAGATAATTATTGCATCACTTTACGAGTCATTGTCTCATACTTTAAGGGCCCTAAGCTACCATTCTACCGAAGCACGTTTTTGTCTGCTTTAGGTCGGCGGGATCTTCTTTCCTCATCCGACCCAAAAAAAAAACAAGCTTTTTTCACGTAAACGTCCGTAATTTCTGAACTTTCTCTTCCAGAGGCAACGCCTCCGTATCGAATGCGAACGAAAGAATGTAACTCCGACGGTTCCTACCGCAAATTGATCTGCGAACGCATTGACATTTTCATTCGAAACAGTGTGAAAATATTGCGGTCAAATTTTTGCGCGGACATTACAAACGTAAGAATAAAAAATGTAATAATACGTTGAAAATTACGGCATAGGAATGTCTTTATCTATAAATGTAAATAAACCAATAAATTATCGATTTAATTAATAGTTAGGATGGTCTTGCTAGCAATTTGTTATTGCGTTTGCATCAAAAAATGATGACATGTATCTGCATAATAAATACGTATAAACTTATGACTTTTAACAGTTTACAATAAATCTAATTGATTAAAAATATACGTAATAAAAGAAATTAAGATTTAATATATATATCTTAGAATTAGCAATTTAAGATAATTTTCTCTGACTTTTCAATTTGTTCCGATGTTTGATCCGCAATCGAATCTCACGCGCACGTTGTGTATGAAAATACAAACACACGCCCACGCACAAGAAAATCATTAGGATGATGTATCTGATATAAGACGTCGCGACTCGGCTCAATCATCCACCCCGAGAATATCTTCAATATATTCATTATAACTTTCTTACACATATAGAACTCCTCAGTGACACTGCAATATTGTGATTATCCAATGCTGAAGAAAACATGAACGTTCTCAAAAACGTAATGCGTTTTCACTTTAGTCCATAATAACAGGAAATCTTATCTACTTTAAACAATCTGTCCTCTTGAAATCAGAATAGAATTGCAACAATATTTATTCAAGTGTGACAGGTATATTGATTAATTTTAACCGATGTACATATTTTTATTAGATTCGATTTGATAAATGATTTTATTTAAATAAAGATAGAAGAACTTGTCAGTAGAATTGTAGAGATCTTCAATTAAAAATTTAAGATTTAATAATAAATTAGAAATTGTGAAGTAGAAGATTTATACACATACTTTGCATTTATAATTGAAACCATTTTTTGCTAAACTACTAAAAATTTATACATTAATTCCATATTCAGACATAGTATTGATAATAATTAATATTCCGTATGGGATATTTATTTCGAACTTGCATAACCGATTAAAAATGTTGCGGTTCCTTCAGGCGTCGCTTGTCATGTCGCGTTTATAAGACGTGCGAACGCGCTCGCCCGCGTCTCTTACGTAAATTATTTAGAAGCCGCGTGTGGGAGGGTGTATTTATATCGACGGCAGGACTCGGAGTACGAAATTACGCCACTGTTTCCATTGTGTAAGCATTGTCGACGTACGCACGCTAGTTAAACTTTCGCTCGACGGACATTGAAAACTGACCCTTGACAGTCTTGGCGATAAATCTACGGATACCTGATACCGATCGAAGGATACTTTTAATGGAAAAAAGTATCGCTCAAACAGAAGTGAACATCATTCCAATACGTAGAAAATTTAGATATCGTTTGAAAGAGCAGTTGCATCCGACTTGTTTGTTTACAAAAATATTTTACTTGACACATCTTGAACCCCTTTATAAACAAAATCGTTTTTTTAGTAAAAAAATTATGCCTACATTTATCAAAAATTAATATAATAGTAGTTGATATTATCAATTTTTTATTTATTTATTTTTTTTTTTTTATTCAAAATTTCTGTACCAAAGAATTTTCTACATTAATGTAATAAAAAATAAATATGCATATCGTGCCGAATCAGACTTTGTAACATTAATTCACGTTACTTACAAAATCGTGTTTTATACTCGCCGAATGTTAATTGCGTAAGTAAATCGCTTAATAATTGCATTCGCCTCTTTTACCAAAATTATCCGAAATAAGTATTCGCGCGAGAATGCTGATTTAGGGTAAGGCTTTCCAGATAAAATTACGGGGGATGATCCTTAGTAAAAAATATGGTATACGTAATCGCGTATGAAGAATGACAGATGAAATCCATGACGAGGTGTAAACTCGGAATCATTAGTTTTCGGATTAAGATATTTAACTTAACGATTGCGTTTTACAAGTTGTATATCTCAGTGCAAACATATTTTATATCGTATTTTATTTTATCTTATGTCGGCACAATTTAATTACATCTTTTGCGCTCCTTCTATTTATGAGTACTGCTTATGAATATATGCATGGCATATTTGAACATACATGCGTACCGATAGTACTTTCCCTGAGGTTATCATCTCTCGCATTCTTAAGCTCTTTTATCGCGACTGCTTGTCCGGGCTTTTAAGATCAATTCAAATGATATCTCATAATCATTATATCACGCTCATGCTAAGTACATTGCATCTCGAATGGAGCGAATTACGAATAAATAATTAGAAATCTATGAATGATATATTTGCTGCAAATAGAACATACATTCGCATAAGCAATGCGCCATAAATACAAATTATAAATTAGGTTCGCCACCGCGTCTTATCTCAACTCGTATCTTAATGATAGCTGTTTACTACGCGTTTCACGTGGTAATTTAAACAGCGTGTGAGGACATTCCTAGTTTTATATTATTCATCAAATATAAATGAGTTATACAAAATGCATATAGAATAGTCGACATATTTATATTTACGTGTAGAGTTGGATGTGATAGAACAAATATATTTTATAAAAGTATTTCGTCTCTTTAAATGAGATATTAAAGATCTGTTTTAAATTATGTTCAGTCAAAGTGAATAAAAATTAAGTATTTTGCTTTCTCATAGAGGAAGCTTTGTTTTCGTGACAAAATTTTTTTTCGAGTTTTCTATGCCAATGTGTTTAGAATGTTCCAAAACGTCGAAAAATCATATTCCTAAAAAATGTCTGTATGTATGTATGTATGTATGTATGTGTGTATGTGTGTATGTACGCAATATATTGTACAACATGTGCAAGTTTCTAATTTTTTATATTATTTCTAATGTGTACACACATGAGAAATAAGTCATATATACATTCTCTTAATAAAGAAGTAAATATATTTAGTAGCATGACATAAATAATCCCACGCGACATTATTAAAAGATACGTCTTTTTGTTTTATTATTTTTGTTTAATAACTAAAAAGTGTTATAAAACGTATAATATAAGTATATATTTGATGAAAGACCCTCTTTGATTGTCACATAGAAGTTTGATTATGGTACCGTATCTATGAAACTATAAATATTGTAAATATTTATCATTTACTATATTATAATAGCAATAAAACTGCACGAATATAAGATATATTATAAAGGTAAGCTCCTATAAAATAATTTTTTTTAATTTCTAATTTTAATACCTAATCTAAACTGGAATTTTTTTTATTTATAACTGGAATCTTATATATGCATACATACGAATATAATATATTTATAATAAATATATAATACTATATTTATATTAAAAATAATTAAATATTGAATAAAATATTTGTTTGCCTTTAAGAATATTTAACGATAGCATAACACACAAATTTGGTTTACATATTATCGATGTTAATCTTTAACCTGACCTAATCTAATCGAACGATGAATTTCAACCGACAAAATAATCTTATGATTATGTACATACATGCACACATGTGGTCCACGAATTGATTAAAAGAAGACTTTGAACATATATATCTACACATTTCCAAATAAATTTGTTGTTTCAGTAAAAAGTTAGTCAGTCTTTCGCGCATATCTCATGCATCATACATGTTTTCAAATAATAAATCGTCGCTTGTTGGTCAAAAATTTAGTCTTTGAATTGCGATCTTGACAAAAAGCTAGCAATACTAGCAAGACGTTACGAGTATCGTTTTCTTCTCGAGTAATCAATTCATAAATCAATGATGGAATTCTTTACTTTGATCCTTATCCTCCTCGCGGCATGTGTTTGCCTGCATTATTTTATCCTAAGCAAGCTGTTATATTTCAAACGACAGAAGGTTCCGTATGTGCAACCGATTCCGTTGCTGGGTAACATGGCACCTTTTATTTTTCGGCGTATGTCTTTGGTAGATATTGTGCAGAGAGTATACAACCTCTTTCCGGATGCGAAGTATTTCGGTTTCTACGATTTTGTAACACCGGTGTACGTGATCCGCGATCCAGATCTCATCACCGCGATCACCATCACAAACTTTGACAACTTCTGCGATCACCGCAACTTTGTGAACGAAAACGACCCGATAGTCAACAAAAATCTGTTCGACTTACGGGACAATGCTTGGCGCAAGATGCGAAAACTTCTCAGTCCTAGCTTTACATCTGGCAAAATGAAGATGATGTTCGGATTGGTATGTGAGTCCGCTGATAATTTTTCTAATTTTCTGGCGACAGAATCTGGAAAGATTGGCAAAACTTACGATATGAAGAAAATATTGTGCAGATATGCTAACGACGTAGTGGCCACGTGCGCCTTCGGCATCAGCGTGGATTCATTTCAGCATCCGAACAATGAATTTTATGTAACCGGAATGAAAACCTTTAACTTTGATGGCATACAATCATTCATGATTTTCCTAAATAGAAATTTTCCGCTGCTTATGAAACTTCTTAAATTAAGAATGTTTAGTTCAAAGTTGGTGGAATTTTTCAAAAACATTGTCAGTGATACGGTGAAAATCAGAGACGAGCAAGGAATTTATCGTCCGGACATGATTCAGTTGATGATGGAGACTAGAAACAACGATCACGGATCTGCATTTGATATCGACGAGATGACTGCCCAGGCGTTAGTCTTTTTCTTAGGTGGATTCGATTCCGTATCAACGACCATGTGCTTCCTGACGCATGAGATTGCTATTAATCCCGATATTCAGGACAGACTGAGAGCGGAGGTCGACGATGTTCTTAGAAGGACCAATGGCAAACCCACTTACGAAGTCATCAACGATATGAAGTACTTGCACGCCGTGATTAATGAGACTCTCAGACAGTATCCGCTACTGACCGTCCTCGATAGGGTATGCGTCAAGGAATTTGAACTGCCACCTGCGATTCCGAATGGCAAACCGATCACGGTAAAGCCCGGCACTAGTATCTGGATACCGAATCACGCTCTGCATCACGATTCCTATTATTACCCGCAGCCGGACAAGTTCGATCCCGATAGATTCTTGAATGGCGATGTGAACAGTTCGGTCTACATGCCGTTCGGTATCGGGCCCAGAATCTGCATAGCTAACAGATTCGCTTTCATGGAGATGAAAGTCATGTTGTTTCATCTATTGTGGCGTTGCGATCTCGAACCCGATGTTAAAACTAGAATTCCCATAGTATTCAGCAAAAAGGCTTTTTTCACGACGGCGGAGGGCGGATTCTGGTTAAAATTGCGAGCGAGGAAATCGAAGGCTCCTGTTGCGCATGAATGCTTATCGAACGGACAGAGAGTTGAGGACGGAGATAAATTGTATCCATAATTTATAAGGTTCACTTCAAATATAACATTATAAAGAATGTACTTTGTAAGTTATCGTTTTAGGCAAGTCTAGCCTCGTAGTTTTTCTTTTTTCTTTTTAAAAATTTGATATAAAAAAAGAGTCAAAAATTCTCATTCCGTATATTGTAAAGGGCAAGTGTTGCAGTGTTTTTGCTTTAATAGATGCAATTATTTTTATATCAAATATCTGTTTATATTCGGACAAAATATGTTTTATAATCAATATGGTGTTATTTTGTTTATACAATTATTGTAATAATAATTACTGTAGTTAGTGTTTTTAGGAAACGCGAATTTATAATATGAATTTTGTTCTAATTAGCTTAGCTATATATGTATGTATACGCACACACAATATTTAAATTGTAAAAGAATTTTAAATATAAAAAAAACTATATTACATATAGTATTATATATATATATGTATATATAATACAAAATGTCCCAAAATCATCGCAACAATATCAAAATAGGTTATCATTTTTTGCAAATTTCTAATTTGTCCTATCATGTATCTTTGTAATTAAGCTCCAAATTAAAATTCTGTTAAAGTAAACGTGACTTAAAATTAACTAAGAAATGTAGTTTTGTTAATCTTTTAATTCCACATAATTTAATTTGTAAAAGGCTTTTCTCTCTTTTTCAATCTTATATTTCGCAAATTATTAATGACTCAACATATTTACTAAGAAAAAATTGTCTCTAAATTAGTCAGAAAATCTGCTCTCAAAAGGATATCCGATAGTTTGATAAATTCTACATAATACATAAACAAGTTAATTTTTTTTAGTTTGTAATTATCCACTTAAATCAAATCTAAATGATATATAAAGTTTATTATTTCCTTTATTATGAAACATTACAAACGATTGTATTATTATCTGTCAAGTGCTATTATGTTTCTAAAGAAAATAACAATCTCTTTTCTCAGCATTTATTGGCTGAGAAAAGAGGCTATTATTTATTACACACTCTATTATTTTTCCTTAACGAAAAATACTATTTCATACATTGCATTTCGTACAAATGTTTTATAGAGAGATTTCATACATATTTAATACAGTATAACATTATAGTAACAAATTCTATCTGATGTGTTGCACGTTCTCATACAAAATGCATTGCCTAAGAGGGAGGACGTATATTTAATATTTGATGTATAGCCTCATTTACTTCTATATATATAAACACTTATTTAAATTTTATAAGAGAAATATTTATATTGAGAGATTTATTTTATTAACATTTCTCATAAACAATCATATTTTTTGTTTGCATACACATTCAATAGCAATAATTTATGTAAATGTATTTACATATATTAGTAGTCAGTTAATATAAAATTAATTTACGAATGACGTAAACGAAATACATTCAAATCATGTTATTATTTTATATTAACACAACGGCCACATCTATGAACATGTAATTCGAATTAAGCTTTATTTTCTCTAAAAAGATATTATTGAAATATTATGTTTTTATACATATCACACATATATAAATTAATAAGATAAACACTATTATAATTATCTTAATTATACTAACTATATTATGTTAATTATTATATTAATATAAAAATTAATAAATACTTTTAAATAATTTCACATTATTGTGTCCATTTTTTGCAAAATTTATAAAAGTGTGCGTCTTAAATTTAAAACAATTTTTTTATTTTAAGATATAAACGCATTTATTATTTTCTTACTAGACAAACCTTTCGCTCTAAGCAATTTGCAGTTTTGATTCGCAATGAACAATTTGTAATCCCCTGCCTTTTTCACCATAATTTTGTGTACATAGTTAATGGTAAATTTATAAAACACATATAATTTCTACATACTTGATTTTATGAATTCTCTAACTCTAAATGCAACTCTTGTAGAAATAATCCTTCGATCCAATAGCATTTCAACTATTTTATGCTTAATTAAGACTTCGGTAAAAATTTAAAAAAGAAATTCTCTCTGGCGGATAATTGATTTTGTTTGAGATGTACCTTTGAAATGCAAAAAAAAAAATATAAAGAAATCATTAGAAAAATAAATTTAAATGTATTAATTTCCTTAAATTTTTATTCTTAAGAAGATTAATACATTATTGCGTGTATTCGATGTTTATCGCGCAAGACTCACGATTTTTTTTCATAAAAATACTTGATATTTTATACACGTATAAAAATCACTATAAAAGAGATACATATTAATTGAGCTGTCGACACAATATTAATAACTCGAGAAAGGCGATTTTTGCAAGAAAAGAGAAAACATAAGAAGACAATTAGTTGAAATCGGAAAGAAGTTGTTTACATTGGCACGAACGAGATGGACGACATTCATAAATGGAGAATGTCTACAGTCTTATACAGAGTACTCGAGAAAATGCGTGAATAATGACAAAAAATATATCAGTTGAAAAATTCAGAACCGATATTTATCTTGACGATAATTTAAGTCACACAAATTGTAATTAAGATTTTATTGCAAATTAAAGAAACTTGTGAGTAATTAAGCACACACATCAAGCGTGTATTTAAATGAATTTAACGAACATTTATTTCAGAACTAACCGTTGAAAGAACAAAAAGTTGCATATTAATAGCTGATATCAAATTATGTTTCCAAGTTAATTTTTTTCCGACAAGAGATTGATTCGGAATTCAATAAAGATATCTATTTCATCCTCCAATACAGTTGTTCTGTGCGCACTGTATAATGTCTATACATTTACGTACCACACCCAACCGCAACCTTGGTCGATCTCTTTCGCAGATTCCTCAGAACCTGCTCGTGTCATTTACTTTACCATTCCAACGATCCTTCGATCATATGCTTCACGTATTTGTATCCGCATCACGGACAACCGGATATACGCGAGAAGAATCCCAAAAGACAGCGATAAATCTTTCTAACGCAATAACTTCATATGCATTTTATTTTATTTATCGCCCCTATATTTAGAATTTATTAATACGAGTAGCAAATTGTCATTTTGGATTATACTTTGATAATGATGAATAAAAATTACATACCTTTTAAAGTAAATCAAGTCCTTTGTTCATGAGATTTATCTCAGATTTTATACATAATCATAAAGTTACTTTATTCGCTTTAAAATTCTGACATTTAATTTATTTGAAAGACGTACGAAAAAACTAGAGGAAATGACACGTGTTCAGGTGTTGAAGAGAAGCTTTTTGTTTTTCGTCTGGCTGAAATTGGAACGTGCAGGTACTTACGAAGGGACATTCGAAAAAACGTCGAAACGAGAGCGAGGGCATTAACTCGATTCGCGCCCACCTTGCGTCTGCTCACAAATCCGTAATTCTTTGGCGATGACGGGATCGTCTTTTAAGACGAGCCGCACCTGCATATTGTTTATAACTCTCGCCGAGTATCATCGGATAAATCCATCCATCCGGAGACATCGTCTCTTCATGGTACCCACGCGAATTCCTGCGCTCTTTATTGACCGGTATATCGCCGTGTCCTTGATTTCGCGTGCGAGCTTAATCGGAATATAGATTATACAATCACATGTCTCGTTGACTTTGCTTCCGAAGGTACATTCACCTTCGAAGAACGCTTTAGGCAACCGATTTTAATTGGTTCTGATGTACACAGATGCTCGAAAGAAGGAATAATTATCGCCCGTCATTGACACATTTGCGAACGTGTGTGCGAAAAGTTACAAGCAATTTATACGATACAATGAAATGTCAAGATAAAACGTGTCAAAGTACGTGGAATTCTTTTCTAATAATGTATGAGTGCTAAAAATATTAAATAAGCATCAATATCTTTTTAATTTTCAATAATGATAAATATCTTTTAATTATATTGAAAACTTTGTTAAATAAATGTTAATAATTAACCGAGAAGTCAATTTCGTATTCTTATCTATTAATAGTCGCAAAATGTTCCAATTATTTAACTCGTAGATTTAGCTCATAGATTTGCAATGAATCAACATATCAAAAGCGTTATTCTTCTTAAATTGATTTCCAATATCTATGATCGAGAATAACCATACTCCTTTTCAGGTACCATACGCGAGATAATACATTTGTATAATAAATGGACAACGATAAAGAATAATCAATGTAAAGAAATAATGACTTTGTTAGCTCGCGAAAAGGAATCGTTCGATCTCATTGTCAGATGGGTGAGCGTGACGAGAAACAAGTTACTCCTGATATAGTTTGTACAGATATATTAACATAATTTATCGCGCGTCGAACTTATCTTGAGAGAAAAAAAAACAAACATCCGCAATAAAGACAATCCTATGCGCGTACAGTGTATAATTGATTATGGACCTTGACGGAGTAAACTTTGCGCTTCTCGGTAATGAGTGTATCTCCGAAAAAAAAAGATACGTTTGCGCGGGCAAGAAAAGAAACGCAATAAATAAAAATATCAGATATATCCCGTTCAAAAAATAAGAACGCACGCGCGGGCAATGTGTCTAATTTAGCCGCGTCGAAAGGTCATTAATCATCGCGCGTATTAAATCTCGTAACACGAGCGGCACGATCGTCGCTCTTTCATTTAATAAACGATGCTGTCGCGTGGGATGCATCGATTATGAGAATGCATTACCCGTGAATGTGCGTGCGCGCGAGCAGATATACCCAACGCACATACTCGGGAATGACTCGACTCCCGTTGCGGTGACCTCACCCGAGGTGTCCGCACAACGGAGTACGTGTTCTCCTTTCAACAGGAAACCCAACGCTCTATTCGACCACAGTCCGCGGCTTGCGCCTTTTAACATCTCGCCGAGCCTTATAAATCGGCGGATATTAATCCTGTGCGCATATTTATAATTCTTCTGCGCGCGTGTATAACGCGAACGAAATTTATGAGAACGCGCACGAGCCGAAGACAGTATGATTAATCCCCGATACACAAGTATCGAGCAAACATCGAGCCCGCGCGTCCGCCGTTATGGCATCGATAATCATCCCGGGGGGAGTATTAATCTCTCAGAAAGAATTAACCGCGCAGAGCGCGGTCGTTTAACACGTCGCCCATGGGCTAGAATCCATTTTTTTTTTTTTTTTATTTTAACACATACACGTATTATCGATATGATACGAGCGAATTATACTTTAAACCCACACAATAAGATCGGGCGAGGAAATTCTTAAGGTTCGAGCCTTATCGATGGCTCACGGGCATTCTTATTTTTCGATACATTGCCATATGTTGGGCGAAGAAAATTACTAAATTAAATAACATTTGATAAAAGAAAGTTTTACCGATCATTATTTGGAAATGGTCTTGTTAATTCCGTTTTAATTTAGAATATGTAAAAGAAAGAGAGATATAAAAAGGAAGAAAGAAAAGAGGAAGAAATGCATTCATAACACGTGTTCATGTAAAAGTAGCTAGTAGAAGTAGCGCGTCTATTCTCGAGACACGGATGCATTTCCCGTCGTTTAGTCTGTAGTACTGGTGGTACCGGTTTGCGGATCTCGGTCGCTTTATTCGGAGTAACTCCTCCTCCGTCCCTTTGTCTTCCGTTTCGCAACCGCGCGATAAGTAATAAAGGCACGAGCGAGGATAAAATCCTGCGAGCGCGCTGTAAATCGCCGCGAAATAATTGCCGAGAAGCAGCGTTGTCAATAAAAGAAATCACGAAGACGAGTACTATAACATTCTGGGCGTCAAATTCGAAGATTTGTGGTTCAGCAAAATAAAGATTTTATTCTTTATTTGATATATTTTTCTTCACGGAACATATTATTATTAATCATATTGTATTTATCATATTCTTTGCCAATGACGTAAAAATTTGCCATTTAAGTGAAAAAGTACCGACGACGGAGCCGAGCGAAAATAATGCATCGTAAAGTAGCTGTTTGTACACCCACGCTGCAAGTCTCCCCCGCCATCCCTCTCCTGTCTCTCGTACCGTACCCCGCCCTTTCTCTACACCTTCGTTTCTCCTGTTGGCGAGGTGATCAGTAGCGGCTTCAGGCACACTCTGCATGTTCACGTTCCATGCATAAAAATAGAACAAAGCCATATTCTTACGATTGAAGAAATTGCGCAGCATAAGAAGCTTAAGGAGAAAGATAGTTAGCTGTCATGCTTGTGAGAAAGTTGAAAAAAAATACGTGTGCCAATCATAAACACAATCTCTTATATCGAAATAATAATATTTAAGCAATAAAATAAATTGTTCAGTCATTAATTATATTTATTTAGCCTTTACTTATATATATATATATATTTCCTGCATTTGAATTGAAATTATCTAAAAGTCAAAATAATAAAAGAAACTGTATAAAAGGACCCGAGCAATGCTTGACATGTAATGTGAGCTTAATTTTAACTATCTTATCGGACGAACTATTATACTTGTATCAGGGCAAGGACAACAGCGATCTTTTCGGTGTCGTAAAAATTCGCGGCGACCGCGCGATACAATGGACAAGGGATACGATGCGCTGCAGCAAGCTTGGCAATAAAATCGAACTCGGGAGGTCCGGAAACTTTTAAATTCACAACCTTGTATACATTTTACGCCGCTGTGATTCGCATAAAGATTCTCGTGTGCAATAAGAAAAAAAGTATCATTTCTTTCTCGTTACTTTCTCGCGCAACCACAAAGCGTCATGTAGTATGTAATAACACCATTAAACGTACGTTACGAAATACACACACGTATTGCCAATCGAGTATACTAATAGTTAATAGCTAATTAAAAGTGGAATGATTGTGCGTGATTAATTTAAGTTAATTCAGCATTAATTCGATATTAAATCAATCAATGCATTCTGATGTAAAATCGAAATAATTTTCATCGCCCTCAAATTTCTTGAAACACATGTTTGCGCTTATCTCGACGCGTGAATATTATCGCGATTTTAGGAGAATCCATGAGCGTCATCAGAACTTTTTTTAAAGATCTTTTGGAGTTTAAATTTTATTACAATGAAAATATTCGGCTATTATTTTAATATGCTTATTAAATAGAATTTTTTTTGTATTTCATATCTTTCATATTTCGTTTTTTATATGTATTTTATAGAATTCTGATAACTTATCACAAAATTACATTTATTATTATTTATTTAATATAAATATAGCTTATGTTTGGGATTAAGAAAATGTGTGTTTTTCTCTTTAAAAGAACACTTATCTTTCACATAAATTTCCTCCTGTGAAACAGTGCGTGTCCATATCGACGGTCCTTGCGGCTCGTGGCTCGACTCCTCCCTGTGCGTCCTTTCTCCTAGTGTGCGAATGTCGTCGGGCAATCGCGTAATAACAGATAAATTAAGCATTTATGTTTGCGCATGCCGGCGGCGACTGTTATCTCCTGTATTCAACAGCAAGTGAGAAACACGCATGCCTAATTGCCACCAGAATGATCGTCGAATCTGCTTTAAAACGCTCACAATGTTGCGGGATTTATTACGATCGCCGATAAATCGAGAGATTTGCTCTCTCGTATTCTGCAGTGTCCAAAAGATATCCTGTCGCATAACTATCCAAATTTTTTCCTCTTCGTGAACTTTTATCGGCGCATCGAAAGACAAAAATCAACTTTTAGCGGTGATATTATGTCGAATCGTTTCTCTTTGTGTGTGTAAAACTTATTCTAACGTTCTTTTGCATCCGCGAGACCGCGTTTGTTGTTGAGCGAAATCCATCGCTCATTGTCAGTTTGCATGATTCAAGTCACGTAGTCTCCATGATGATCACTATAATCAAAAAACGTATGAATATAGGTTTGTACGAGTATTTCAGATACAAATATTACTGTATTGGTGAAGAAAAATGACTAAAATTGCTTCAAGGTCCACAGCAGTAGTCACGAGATTCCTTAATTGCGACGAGTAACAAAAATATAAAAATAGAGAATGTATTTCGCGATTCATATAAATTAGATTTTCACTCTGCATTAACGTTGATTGCTATACACGCATGCTTTATTCTCAAAATTTTTATGTATTAATATCTACGCGACGATTCACCTTCCTCTTTCGTCGATCGTTGTATCGGAGCAGCTCTCGCCATTGTTTGCAAATGCGAATCCCGAGCGCATAATGGTTCCGGCATTATTAGACATAAGACTGTTATGTTTAAACGATAATCTCGTTCATCAAGCGATCCCTTAGGAGACGGAGGAACGAGGACCCCAATAAACTATTCGCTCCCGCATAAATATCGTACTCGTGACGTTGGTTCTTACCCTGCAATCCGTCAAGGTCGCTATTACAAAGAACTCGAGCATCCAAGTATCTTATTACAGTTGCGATAGTCACGTATCTTATTATACGCGCGGTGATTGGGAATCGATTAAGAACACGATCGATAAACTGGCGGCTGAAAATCGGGATGGACGATAATTAGTCGCGTAATTCATACTCGGAGCTGAAAGTCACGGGACGTTGCAAATAAATCGCTAGAGCGTAGAATTGCAGTATGAATAGTTCATAAAGACTCTTATTAAGAATCATATAAAGAGTCATATTTCGTGGTATAAATGAAACTTACATAAAATAATGAATATTGACATTTTCCACGAATATTTTTTATACTTAAAATTTAATAGATTATTTCTAATAAAAACATTAAATTTTGTGAAATCTTTATTTTATGTACAGCCGTTGTATGTTGGAAGATTTCGACATCTTATCAACTTCAACTTTAAATGAACATACGAATCGAAATCTTCTCTTTTCATTCTTTTAGAATTTTTTATGTATAACTACAGCTGCGCAGAAAATTTTAAAATTCAGAGAGCAGGAAGTAATGAGTCGTGAAACCGCGACGTGTCTACAACGAGTACACTGCAAAAATTTTCGCGATTTTCATCGGGAGAATGGCTGGCGTGTCTTTAGAGGACTTTACGAGCGAGCGCGTCTCAAATAATTTATAAATCGCATGGATGCACACCTGCCTGCGTCCTTCGCGCGTCTCTGCAAACGCACGCGGAACGCGTAAAAGTGGTTTAACGCCCCTCAACGCGGATTTGAGATCCGACTGATCGCATCGTTGTTCGCGTTTCGCTTCGCTCCTCCCGCGGGAGAACAGAATTTAAGTACTTGCTCGACGATTTCGCGTGCGTTTAATGACGCTATACAAAGGTCGAGACTAAAATGTTACATCCTGTAAATGTTACCCCCGTTTCCTTACTTGGACGTTTTACTCTGTAATTCGAGTATTGATACGACTTCATTTGCGTGCTGTTCTTTATTCCACTGGCTAGTAAATGTAAATTGAATACTTAATAAGTTTCCTGCCTTCTTTGTTGCAATCTTGCCTATTGTTATACGACCTTAATTCAAATTTCACGTGTATATTTGGTATAAAATAAGTATGAAATATTCGATACACATACATATGTTAAGATATCTTTTAGCAAAATATTTTTACAATAATTTTTTCTTAATTAAAATATTGAGATATGAATAGAGAATTCCTGAACTAATCGATTAACAAAACTTACGAGAATTTAACTTTTCATCAAATTTTAGATTACAGCTTTTTGATCTTAGACATTAAAATGTTTAATATTAAAATTATGAAAAATATACAATCTCCAATTAAACTCTACTAAAGCAAGGATTCTATTACGAATATCTTCTGCTGATAAAATATGCCCATTATTGTACATCCTGCATATAAGACACTTATATATTTTAATAAAGCACTTATATATTTTACCTGCTTATAAAATAAATTCGGAGACGAGGCCCGAATTACAATATTAAATAATGCAATGTGTCTTTCAGGTGGTGTTTCAAGCGACTCTGGTCTGGGAGGAGACGCGCGGCGCTCCGGTGAAGAAGAACGATGTTCTCGCCGGTACGGAATTTCTGTCGGTCTTTATAAACGGCGCCATGGCACCGACGCCACAGCGACGTCGGGGTTTCCGGCGCGGTCAACACGTGGCTGCATCGGCGGGTGACAGCGCGACCGCCGAGTCGCATCAGCACGAGGCATCGATCTATCGAATATCTCAAAATCCGAGCGGTAGTCGACCGATTTCAGTGTCGAGGCCGCAAACAAGTGGCCGCGACGATGTCGTACGCTTCTATCCTATAAGCCAGAGAACGTTGGAGCACCGGCAGCAGAATCTGGCGTCGTTGATCGACGTTCTGAGCACGCCGGGTGGCATAAGCTCGACACGTCTGACACCGTCGAGTGCGACGACGATGTCGACGACGACGACAAGCGGATCGCCTATATTCCACAATCGAACGACTACGAGATCGAATGGAACCCACGGATCCGGCATCATCAGCAAAAGCGTTAGCCGGCAGAAGGTGATCGGCGTCAGCGTCACGTCCACGGTCGAGGCTACACCATACAAGGTGCGCGTCGAGCATTACGACAGCGCTGACGCTGCGGTGGTAACACGACCACCAAGTTTGGAATCTCCGGTGAACAAAGATACTACTAATCAATCAACTAGAGAATCTATTAAAAGCACAACAAAGAGCGCCAACAGACTATCGACGTCGCCGTCGTCTACGACAACAACGACGACAACGACGTTACCACCAGCCCAATTTGTCACCGAAGAGCTCAGCAACATCGTCTCGGAGTCCAACAGAAGCGAATTCTCCGTCGACGAGGACGAGCTGAGGACGAGCTGGCGCGGCCACGTGACTATGACGCCGAGAATTGAGCAGATCCCCCCATTCGCAGAAAAAAACGGAAACGAAGAAACCAACGAGACCACGCGCGACATCGACATCGACGCGATCACCCTTCCGACAGAAGAGAATTACGAGCTGCCTGTGGAGAACTCAGAACCGCGAGAGTTGAACGAGGAACTGCCGGAGGGATCGTCGGATCGGCTTCAAGGACGCAAGATGGGACGTCATTACGACGCACCGCTCTACAATCGATCAGGCTCGAAACTCTACAGTCAATCATCCAAGACGTACAAACCCGCGCGTACTTATAACGAGCCTGCCAAGATGTATAGCGAGTCAGCCAAGGTCTACGGCGATCCTGAGCGAGTATACGGGGAACCGGCTAAAGTATACAGCGAGCCCGCCAAAGTCTATAGTGAACCGGCCAAGGTTTACAGCGAGCCCGCTAAAATCTATAGCGAACCCGCCAAGATCTACGGCGAGCCGGAAAAGATCTACTCCGAACCGTCCAAGATCTACTCGGAGCCGGCTAAGGTTTATTCCGAGCCGGCCAAAATTTACTCGCAACCGGCCAAGATATATAGTGAACCTAGCAAGGTGTACGACTCCGAGGGCCAGCCGGTAGATCGCCAACAGCAGGACGGTGAACCCGACGAGCAAAACTACGAAATCGACGAATCGGTCAGCGTTGGCAGCAACGGCAACGTCCACGGACCACAGCTGGTCGTCACGGAGGAAACCCCGGGTGCGTCCGAGGACGGGCACAAGGTTGGCTACGTAGTCGAGGGCAGGAACTACAGGAAATACAGGGTCGAGGAGAGGACACCGGATGGCTTTATCGTGGGCGAATACGGCGTCGTCAGTCACGACGATGGTTCACTACGCGGTGTCAGGTACACCGCCGATGGAACCATCAATCCGCAGCTCATCTACGACGCTCTGATGAAGTTTCTCGCTCTGTGAGCGCCGCGATAACGTAGGAAAAGAAAGAAGAGGACGAGGTGACTTCGGCGACGTCGTCGACGAGACGAATACGACTGATTCTTTTGCTCTTGCCAACTCAACTGCCTCAACAATTAATTTTAAGGACGATATTTTTTTTAGGACCTAAGAAAGAGCCTGTTCGACCAAGGCAACTCGCCGCGCGCGTCACCGAAAGCCGAGGACCGAAAGGTCGACCGAAACCGATGTACGAAAGTCGAATCTCGATGTTCAGATTCAGATTGCGAAAGGCTGACAGATGAAAGTTATACTTTGGGCGGCGAAAGTACGAACTTTTGTGCGCAGTGCTGCTCGATGGCCTTTGACGATTGTGGCAACCGATCGAAGTGGTTGTCGAATGTTTCTCTTACGGGTTATTCGCAAAGATTCTCGAAGCGAAAACGGAACCATTAAAATATTTTTAGTGCACGAGAGCTTGCACTTGGGTGACGACACGCATCGACTTAGACGATTTTCGATTGTAATATTAACAATGACAGAATTATTAATTTTATATTTGTAAATTTTACGATAATTTAGTATTTTTAAAAAGCATGATGATAGATTTATAATAATCGCTTAATTATTTTAATTATAAGATAAACATGAAAATTACACGATCTCTAAGCTTGATAAAAGAAACAAAATGCTTGACAAAATGTTAAGAAAATGTCTAATCTCGGTGCGATATCGGCACAACTGTAACTTGAAATCAATTTGAAGATTCTATTGATAGTGATTTCCGCGTACGCGTATCGATACATATTTTTGCAACTGAATATTTTGCAGATAAAGAGAACCACCTTCGTCGAGAACGCACCCGCGGCAAACTCACGATCCTTGATCTCTGATCTGTGATCTCCGTTTTAAAAAAATCTCGAATCGAAGTTGTCGCGAACCCGATGAAATGAAAACTTTGATTAAAATAATGGAGTATTTTAATACCTTTATTCCGCGAAAAAATTTGTATTGAAACACAAAAATAATTCGCAATGTTTTTCCGGAGACCTCCTTGTCATCTTTTTAAAATAATAAATTGAAATGTCAGAGATCATCAATCGATTGATATAATGTCAATCGAAAATCAATCTTTTCTTGTATTATATATTAGAAAGATGTTATGTGAGTATGTGTATACGTATGTGGCAAGAGATCTGTATTGATTAAAGATTAATTTAACCGCTGAAAGGGGATTTACGAATTACTCGCTATTATGCCAAAGTTAACGCTAAAACATTCAGACTTTTCTTATTGTCTTTAAAGTTTAAGAAATATTAAATTGAATTCTTATTTTTGTACACTAGATATAATTTATTGTCAAATCTTATACAACATGTGTGATATTCAGACTTATGTAATTTATGTTTCAATGATACCTAAAAGAAAACATATGCTATTATATCGAAGTCGCCAGCAAATAACAATGCGTCTGAATGTTCTAACGTTAATAGCTTCCGAAATCATCGACTAAGAGTTCCCTTTGTATGCTTTTATTGCGATCACGCTTCTGCGATGAAGAGGTAAACGAAAAAGTTGCAGCTGCCAGGGTCCTTAAAGAATGATCCCCCCAATTAGAGAGCGGACCCCGCAGTTGCGATGGATGGACCGACTTGTCGCGGCAGCGTTTCTGCATATCTCCTAGCTTATTGTAAGTTCCTTAGATCTTAAGGTTGTCTCGCGTCAAAGGAAATATCTCAATCAGCGAGAAAGTTCCGTTTTTTTCGCGTATATATATATATATAGCGTCGATTATTTTATTTAATGTTTGAAACTATAGCTCCATTTTCTCTCATTACCTCAGTCCTTTGAGATAGTTCCTCTCGCCATGCAATATCAAGCGAGCAAACATATATCCTAAGCGCGAGTTTTTTCCGCAAAACTCGCAAGAAACATGTACGGATGTTCCGAAATCATTGCCCTTTCTGTTTTGAACAGTAGCTACGGAAACATCCGGTGCCGCCGTTATTTCTGGACACACTATATACGGATATCCTTCGCGTATTGCTCACACTCGTAGATTATAAATAACATCTCAATTATATATTCCATTTTACTCTCCCGTATGTACACTTCTAAAGCATTCCGATATGTTATATACAGTATATCTAAGAACTCTATAAGTCTCGTATAAGTATCCTAGACAACATTTGTACTATTAAAACATCATGTATAGTGCTGTGTGTGCAGCCATCGCCATTTTTCAACGACAACTTTGTAATAAATTCATTGTCATGAAGATAAAATATTCCAATTATTTTACCTCAACTATAAAATAAATATTCTTGTAAATTTTAATGCAAAGATTATTTTTCTTCTTAATAAATTTGAAGAGATAGACTGTGTTTCTAAATTCGCTATCAGTACTGGAAATCTATACATAGTTCATTGCACTCACTATAATAAATGTAAGAAATGATTGCGCTTTGGTTACTCTTTGACGACCGTCAAAACGCGATTCTCTATTCAACATCTTTACGATAGACATCTCTAAGCCGTTCTTAATTCCGTCATACCCGTTATATGATCGCTCGCGGCGATCGAAACGGAACTCGAGAATCCAAATACTCGCGCGTGGACGGGATTGATAGCCGTTCGCCGAGCAACGACACTGTGACTGGTTCTTCATTATCTTGGCGCCAGACAGGAATTACTCGTGAGATACTACTCGTTTTGGGGGCAGTGAACGTCCTTGAAGGCCAGGCAATTTTCTCCTCCGAATATGTCCGCTCGTATTTTGATAACTCGACGTCTACACCGATAGTGGCTCTACAACAATCTATCTCAAACAATTATCATTGCTGAAATCATGATTAATGAGTTTTCTTATTTTAAACAATATTTTGCACGCTGTGAGAAAATCTAACTGTCATGACAGTCATCAGCTATATACATTTGTATTAATTAAATCGTTAACTCTCGTCTAATATATGTTATATCTATAATTGCATTTGCATAATTAGCTTAATTATTATTAATTTGCAACTATTTCCTTTTCTTAATTCTTTCTCTCACTCTTTTATAATTAAATCCATTTAATTAAATATATATATAATGCTTATTTATTTTTTTATAATACTATTATATTTATAATACTATTATCAATTAATGTCCGGCAAAATCGTTTATCTCCGAAATTCACTTGCTTGCCTTCGAGATAAATTATTGTATAAAGATATATTCTAGTATTGGAAGGAGTAGATTTTTTTGGGATAGCATCTCATAAGATATAAAAGAAACTTTCAATTTTGTTTAACCAATATTGCAAGAGATATCTCGATTTTTTATATGACATTTTGCGAAAATCTGATAGTATATCTATTATCGGGCAATTATATGAACGTGAAAAAATTAATTAATACTGCTAATTAATTAAAACTCCTTAAAAAAAAAAAGATTACGGACAAAACTATAGAAAAATTATAGCAGAATAGACTTCTTCTTCTCAGAAATTAATTTTTTCTATGTCGTATCACGTATCAAGATATTTCTAAGTTCCGAGGGGAATATGAAAATATTTTGGAGCCCCTTTTTCTCTATTCTTTCGATTACTCTCTTTTTTGCTTCCATTTTATTCAAAAATATTAATAATTACGATATCTCTCTTAGTCTGACTCCTCTCCTTCGACCTGTCCGGCATGGGTGACCTTACCGGTAACTATTAGCGTTTTCGAATGAAGCAAATTTGATCGCTTTGAGCGATTAAACCCAATTTACCATAAATATATGTTTGACTAAATAAGTTTTAAGAGAATCTGATCAATATAAATATATGATATATTAATAATATAACTAATATAAAGTACATCTCCCGTTTTTGTTGCTATTTTGGCTTTAAAGCACAAGATTCTTTGCCTTGATTAATCAATCAAATGCATACTTGAAGTATTTCATTGATTAACGACATGCAATTACAAAGCTTATTAAGTTTTATATCACGCAAACAATTATGATCAAAAGAATCGTTAATGAAGTTATTGATCGTTTTTCAATTGTAGAAAAAAATATCAATTGTTAGACTACTGGCGCATTTTGCGTGGACTTTCAAAGAAAATATCCGAGAAAATATAGATGAAGCTTCGAAACATTTGGAGTGCTTTATATAATCGCGTTTGTAATATAGTATATTTGTGAATATAAAATCTAATGCCCGATTAATTTTCAAATATGTGATTTCATGAAAATGTCGCGATTGAGAATAAAATATATATACCGTTTCGCGGAGGATTGGCTAAACAGAATAAAAGCTTATAAATCTTAAGATACCGTTATACAAAAACTGCGTTATTGCCACGTTCAGTGGAGAATAACTGGCCCAACAATTTGACCAAATCAAGGTCCCTCCGCCAGATAAGACGCCGGTTAATATCCGACAAAGACAAGAACAATCCTAAAGATGGAGAACGATCAACTTCTTGCTTCTACATCGGACTCCGCAAAACATATAAAATAAATTAAAATAATATCAAGCATAATTAATTCTGTTATAATTAATCTTTTTTGTAGTATTTAAATACTAATTAATTTGCCAATATTTTACTGATATCGGGGTACCCATTCGATTTGTCTCGAAGTTTTGAAGTATACGCACATTTTACGTTATATTCATGTATAACATTTTGTAACATAATATTCAAAAGATGTAAAAATTTTATGAAATAGTATGTTAATTTGCACATGTATTTTATTATACATATAGAATGGTATATCTAAAAACTATCCAGGACGCACCTAGAATGGCGGGATGTCCAATACCTGCAAATGATTTCTTAAAAGAAACCACAAAAACTAACGTTAATATCCTCAGTGCCTAGAAATAATTTTTTCAAAAAAGAACAAAAATTATATTAATTAAAAATTAATTCATAAAATACATTCGTTCGTAACCATAATGTTTTTCGAAAAAATCAACAGAAACGGGCAAACTGATTACAATTTAAAATTACTTATAATAAAAATAGAAATTTATACACAATAGCTATATCCATGTTCAATCTACTATTAAGTCTTTTTAGCATTAAGACAATAATAACATTAATATTAATAATAATAGAAGAACACTAAATGAAGAGAAAGAGATATATCTTCTCGTCAAATATACTATTTAAATTAATTTTCTGATTCGACTTCGAAAAGGCGTGTGGCAGTCGTCGTTGAGTTACTACCAAAATCATTGCTTTCAGAAATTGCCAGGAAAACCTGGATTTAATTCCAATCTTGCAACGAACATCCCCAATTTTCAACAGGGCACCGAACGTCGTTGAGTTATTACCGAAACCATTGCTTTCAGAAATCGCCAGGAAAACCTGGGTTTAATTCCAATCCTGCAACAAACGTCCCCAATTTTCAACAGAACACCGAACTAGACGTCGCGGATGGATCTTACAAGAACCGACAAGAAATAATTCTCCACGATGAAGATTGTTTCGACTCTTTGCCGGTACGAACCACGCAACTTTGCTAACGTTTACCTGACGAGAGGGACAGCGATAAGGCCCCTTAGCTAAGACAGCGATCGCGTCCAAGAGCGTGGAAAAAACGCGGTGTTTTTACAACGTAGTTAATTAATTAATTTAACGAATATTTAATCCCGACACAAAATTCATAAATATCAATGAAATCAAAATCAAATCATGAAATTCAGAATAATTTACTCGCGATTCTGCAATGTCGAAGGCAATCGTCAAATTTCATGAACAAAAAGCTAATATTTAATCGTTAGCTTAACATCGAATCTTCACATTCTTTTTCAATAATGTTTCTATTAAATATTAAAAGAATTAGCGATATTCGTGATATTTCTAAAGTTTGAAATATAGTTTCCCGAATTTATCAACAATTCTTTGGTATAAAAACACCAACAACGCTTAAGTTCATAAATATTTTAAAAATAAAGAATATAGAAACTAATATTTTCAACAAATATATTAATTTAGAATTTCATTATACATGTTCTTTCGGTAAATTTTCGTGTAATTTACAGATATTTTTACAGAAAAGGAAATTTTATAGTATTTTATAATATTATTAATACTATTATAATATATAATTACATATAAATTACAATTATAACAATTATAATTAAAATTAATTATTGTACAATTATAATTAAAATACAATTAATGAGTCCTAACAATCCTACTTTTGCTGGTTAAGCCAGCGGGAATCAGGGATCACCAATATTTTGGGGAGTGTGTCCTAATCGCGTGCCCTATTCACGTGCCCTACTCGCGTGCCTTATTCGTGTATCCTACTCGCGTGCCCTACTCGCGTACCCTAATAAAATGCACCGCATGTTGCTTCCGTTGGGCCAGTTGGACCTACCTTTCGTTGATCCTGGCCATATTCATTCCGGCTACATCTAACCAGAGATGTAGTTTTGACCTCTATCGGAGATCAATGAAGGAGAAAAATTCCTTCCGTTGCCGGCTAATTATTATCGCCGGTGCAATGGGCGTGCCACATATGAGCCATTGTGCGACTCGTGGCAATGCTGTGTTGACACGCGACGCGAAAGACGCGAAAGCCGTCCGCGGCACGATGACGGCACCGACGACGCACTGCTACCTTATTCCTCGAGTATCGCCGCGCGAATGATAACATGTAAGAACGGAATTTGAACATCTCACCCCACTACAGTTCTATTCCAATGTCTTTGTATAAATGATAACAAGGCCGTGATACATAAACAATGCTTACGCGCGCCAATGTTTACGCCGCCAAGGCCAAATACCATGTT